GTGAATTTTAAGTAATGCTTATTCAGTCTACACTACCAGATTAAAGTTACAAAAGAATGTCACTTAGTTTCCAGAATTTATGAAATGAATGATGAATTTATTTATCTAGGAAATGCAAACTACTACAGTGCAACAAGGTTATTAAAAACATTTTACTATAATTAGTCTCAGTTATTTCCAAATAAACATGTTAAAATTTTATAAAGCCATTTCCTAGCCCTAGTACCAGTTGACTCCTCTGTGATTACATTCTTATGGTATGACAACTTTCTAAATTACATACTTCCTGAATGATTTGCTTTCACAATATAAAATGCACAATCATCACAAATAGCTTCCATTCTATAATTTAGGCAAAAAAACCCCAAAAAGCTATGAACCGGTTTTTGGCATCATCAAGTTAAAATTAATGGACCCAAAACCCATCTTATTTTCAATGATAGCTATGTAACCATTATCGTCCTTCCAGGCACAAAGATCACTGAATCATACAATAGTTTCAGTTAAAGATCATTTAGTTTCAAACCATGCCACCATGGGCAGAGATGCCACCTACTAGATTCAAACTGGCCTTGAACACTTCCAGGGACAGGGCATCCATAGCTTCTACAGAAAACCTGCTCCACTGCCTCACTACCCTCACAGTTAAGAATTTCTTCCTATTATCCAACCTAAATTTACTCTATTTCGTTTTGAAGCCATTATTTCTTTCCCTATCTCTGTAAAATGTCCCTCTCCAGATTACTTTAGACTTCCTTCATCACTGAAAGGAAGCAATGAGATTACCCAAAACCCTTCTCTTCTCCAGACTCAGCAACCTCAATTTCCTCAGCCTTTCCTCATAGAAGAGGTGTTCCACCCATCTAATAATCTTTACGGGCACTTTGGACTTGTTCCAGCATGTCCATATACTTTTTCTGCTGAGAAAGCTGGATACAGTACACTGCATGAATGGAGCAGAAGAGGAAAATTGCCTCTGTTGCCCTAGTGGCCACATCTTCTTTGCTGTTTTCCAGGACACCTGTGGCTTTCTTGGATGTAAAGAACAACCCTTTGGCTCCATCTACACCACTTCAGCTACCACTCCCTCACAGCTACTGCACAAATTTAACTCAGGACCACATCTTACCACAACCTCATTTCAGGTAGCTGTACAGAGCAGTCAGGAGGCTCAGGGGAGACCTTTTCTCCAGGCTAAACAAATCCCAGCTGTCTCAGCTGCTCCTCATAAACCTGACACTCCAGACCCTGCACCAGCTCCTTTGCCCTTCTCTGAACATGCTCCAGGCAGCATCTCAGTGTCCTTCTCGCCCAGAGGGGCCCAGAAATGGATACAGTGCTCAAGGTGCGGCCTCCAAGCACATACCAAGCACAGGGGAAGAATCACCTCCCTGATCCTGCTGCACGCAAAATTTCTGATACAAGCCAAGATGCCACTGGCCTTCCTGGCCACCTGGGCAAACTGCTGGCTCACGTCCAGCCACTGTTGACCAGCACCTCCATTACCTTTCTCAGCTGGCAGCTTTCCAGCCACTCTGCCCCAGCCTGTGCTGCAGGGGGTTGCTGTGGCCAAATGCAGGACCTGGCATTGGGTCTTGCTGAACCTCATACCATTGGTCTCAGCCCACTGATTCCTCTACAGAGCCTTCTTAACTTCCAGCAGATCAACAGTCCCACCCATTTTAAGATTACAAATCTACTGAGAGTGCACTTGATCCCCTCATCCAGATCATCAGCAAAGATGCTGAACAGGACTGGCCTCAAAACTGAACCCTGGGAGACACCACTGGTGCCTGGATGTCAACTAGATGTGCCACCATCCATCACCACTCTCTGGGCTCAGATACCCAGACAGTTTTTAATCTGGCAAAGGTGTACAAGTCCAAGCCATGGGCTGCCAACTTTTCCAGAAGAATATAACAAGAAAAAAAAAAAATAAAATAATAACAAAAATTACAAGTAGCAATGTGAATAATGTCATAGTGAAATAATTAGTAACAGAATTGCTTCATAAGCAATTCTTCAATTTCTGAAGATGATGGATTTGGTTTTTAATGCTATGTGTTAATTTAACAGATAAATTCACATTCGCAAAATAATCAAGTGTAAGCAACAAAGTTAATATGCAGGCATTTCACACATATGTATTAACAGTAAAGAAAGACATTGCTTACATAGTAACAAATCAGTAAAGTGGCAACAGCCATTCCTGCTACAGCAACAGAGTCCTCCCACTACCAAAAGTCCCATGAGGAAAATGTTAATATCCAGGCTTACGGAAAGCCAAAATTCTGCATAGCTCCTACCCCTCCCAACTCAGCTCCAGAGTACCACTAAAACTAGTATGGTTTCTTTTTAATTAGTTGTATTAGACATACTTTTCATCTACATTAAACAACATCATCCTCAGATACACTATATGTCATCATGTAACCTTTTGTTCCTCTCTGAAACCAGAGAAAGACAGTTTCTAACATGAGGAGTTTTGCAAATTCATACTAGACACATTTATTTTGGTCATCTTCAGAAAAACTACTATTATTTTCATTTACTGTCCAAAGGGTTCAAGAATGGGTTCAAATACATTTTCACCAGTTCCATGCTATTCATGATTGTGTAGGACCCACTTACATTTACCTAAGACATTCTTTACAGTCTGGAGTGTCCCAGCCTACTTGGCTGCTTCTGACACAGTTACTATCCATACCTGTGGCCCTCCTCTGAACTGTCCTCTGAACCTTTTCAAATCTAACATCTGCTTTTTGAGAGGAGAAACTGGAGCTACACACAAAATTGAAGCTGTGCACAAACCATGAAGACCATAATGATTTTGTTTTGCTTCCTTTTCTTTGACAGATATTTCCAACTGTCACCAGAATCCATGGTTTTGTGAAACAATAGTTCTGTTGACTGTAAGAGTCATTTCCATGCCCACCATCAAACATGTGAAACTAAAATCTCAGAAAATTTTAGCTTCACAGATTACTCTTATCCAGTCTTTGCCCAGATAAATACTGATCCATGACAGGAGATTCCTGCTGTTGTATGATGAACAGTAAACAGAATAACTGAAACCCCCAGAACTATTAGGTGTATATCTTATTATATCCATATAATATAGGCCAAATCTATTACTATTAATAAAATTTATATTTTTTCTAAGGAAGGGGTTTACCTTCATTTTTCCACTATATTTTGGATCTGAAATAGTTTCAAAGGCTGCATCTTTGCTTAACTGCACAAAATCTGGAAAACTGGAAAATACCTGGTTGCAAACTCGTTTGATATGTGCTTCCTGGAAGAAAAGCAGAAAGATTAAACAGGTGTTAAAAATCAGAAATATATTAAGCAATGCGAGGAGTTAAATAGGTTGAAATATGATCTGCCAAAGTATCTCAAGAGTTATGTGGTTTTTAATTTAGTTCACTACAAAACTGCTGGATAAAACATATCCTGTGAGTTTTGCTTTGTTTCATTTAAAAACAAAAGATTTCTTAATCTGAAATCATGGATCATATTCAGAATTTCTTCTCCTGGACAAAACTGACAGTTTCAAAACATTCTGCTGCCTTGAGGTTTGCATTACCCAAGGATTGTGCACCAACATTTCTCTTGACTTTCTCAGGTAACAAGCCAGTATGGGAATTCATATTGTTCCACAACAAAAACTGTACAGGAAATGGACTTAAGGTGTTCAAAAGCCAGATAAAGCTCCATTGCTAAATTTAGCTCTGAACTTAATCACAACCTCACACTTTAAGTCCACTTTTCCAGAAAGAAAGAAAAGACCACATCTCTCACCTAAGGATAACACACATAAGCACCTTCAATACTCAAGGTAAGAAACACCATGAAGTATTCGTTGGTAAAATTAGCAATTATGCATGATGCAGAAGACTCTAAGTCACAAAATACTTGTATTCCGTGATTTCAGAGCTTATTTAAATATCAGATATTATAACAACAAAAACTAAAAATGCACTACACAAAAAAGCCCACTGAAAACATCTGGGAATATGCTGTGTGTAATGTGCTGGACACTAAAAGTAACATTTATGAGAAAGCAAAACTGCTTTAATGGAACAAACTTGCAAAATTAGCTAGGACGTTCTGGTTTCTGTTCCTTGATAGATTCTAAGAAAAAGTTGTAACATCCCTAAATCCCTTTCCTCATTCCTGGATCTTAAGGCTCACAAACAAGCATTTCTGAAACTCCCATTTGTGGGTCTTGTTGCTTGCCACAGTTACAAAATAAGGTGATCCTGATTGAGCAATTTCTTCTAAAACCTGTTTCTCATTATTTAAACAAACTCAGCTCTTAACATAAAGCACTAGAGAAAAAAAACATTCTAATTATCCATTATTTTTTTATTTGCACTAAGACATTCCTCTTATAGGCACTCTTCATAAATATAACAAAAATGGCACTATTAGAAATAATTAAAAATTACTCTCCCTCCTAATCTCTTCGATGTTTTATAACTCTTACTTTCAGGTATGAATCAACTAAATGAACATGCTGTTTTATATAACATCTTTACAAGGTATGCATCTGTATGACTGAATGGAATAGGAATTTTACAAAATACCTTAATTGCAGTTAGTTAAGACTTATAAGGAGGCCAGCAGCAATTTTCATTCAAGAGTTTCCATCCCATTCATTTTACAAAAGTATATTTTTTAGATACTTTTGAAACTAACCTGCAGTTTGCTAGTGCTGTCTGTCTGCAGCAGTGCGGCATGATTTGCAACCTTCTGTAGGATCATTAGGTAACTGAAGCGCAATGACTTAATTGTTTCACCATGTGCATTTGCCTACAAAAAAAAGCCCAGTGTATGAAAATAAATACTACTGAAAATAAGTAATAATGTCAAACAAGTGCTATTCTTACCAGGTTTAATTCGTACCAGGTTTAACAATTTTCAGTACTATAACTAATCCCCAAGAGATGAATACTGTATTTCTGACAAAAAGTAATCAAGTTTTATTTTTATTTCAGCTTTGCCACCCTTCTACAGACATCCCATGGAGATAAACAAAAATTCTTCAGTAAACAAGAAATGGTAACTTTATAGCTAACTAAATCAAGCAAGAGCAGTTTGAATGACTTCTTACCTTTCAACTGCTAACTTTTCTCTCCAGCAAAAGCCTATAAAGCTTTACAAACATCTCAAATAGCGTAATTCAAGCTTCAAGACATTCTACAGTGCAACAGCAACTGTGCAACAGCATCAGCTATCTTCCTAGTTATGGCTGGCTAGCTTGATCAATATTTGTTTTCCTTTGTCTTCTCAAATTACTAAATTTCACAGTTAACTTTGGAATAAAACAGTCCATAAGAGCACTCAACTATCTGCAGGCCTGCCTACTGCCCTTTTGTGAATGAAGTTCACCAGCATTTCTTTTTTTCTACAGAACATCACTAGAAACAAAAGCCTGCAAAGAGGGCTACTGTCCATGGAATACTAAACAAAACTGATAAGGGGATTGCTTATAAAGAAAGATGCAGGAAACTGAAGAAGCTACATCATTTGGAAAAAAACTCAAAACACTGCATAAGAATCAGAGCAGGCTAGAGAGATAAAAGGGAGAAATGGGCGTGTTACCTATGCTTCTAAATGTTTAAAAGATTTGCTTAATATGAGACTACTGAGTGAGGTAAGCAAAATAAATACAAAGCCAGACTGATTAAGGTTTAAAGAGGTCCAGAAAAGACTGAAGAAATCAGCAAAGCTTGTGCTCTGCGGTGCTGTTACAGTTCTCCCCTCATGAAGCAAGGCAAAGTCAATGTTAGAACACAAAGAACTACCCAGGCAACCTGCTAAGTTCAGCCAGCATGCCTCCCATTCCCAGCTCCTGCACACACCCCCTGAGGCACCTGGGAGCAGCATGCCTGACACGTACTGAACATCTCAATGCAGTAGCTTTGCCAGTATCAACTAAATCACAGGTGCATTTATTAATACAAAAGATCCAGAATTTACTGCATACGGAACAATCACCTGCTCAGGGCATGCAAAGCAGCTTTGCAGTAACCCCAGAGTGCTTAACTCTATAATACTTGTGATGCAGCTCCCCATGTTTCCAGCTGCGATTTCCCAAAAAGATGAGCTACAACTAGACAAACATTTCAGTCAGCTCTTCATCAGCAGAGAGTCACTTGAGAAATTCTGAAGACTACGCTGTAAAATCCAAACAGTGCCAAGTTCTTACTTTGTAACAACAGTTCTTCCTCTTCCGGCCACTATTGCAGCTACAGGGCTCTCCTGCTCTTAACACCAAGGTTACATCATCTGTCTCTAGCACAGCCTGGTACACAGCTTTCTGGAATTCAGTTAGGGAACAAAACACCATCTGACAAAGAGAAAACACAAGAAACACTATCATGTACAGCATACAATGAAAGGCAAAAAAAAACACTGCATCAAAAAACACAAATCACAGATCACTAAAAATAAAGTAGAAATAAATACTATACTTGCTCAAATAGTTTCAGGAAATTATTCTACCACCAAATGAAAAAAGTGAATCTTGACAAAAAAAGAGCATGAAACTGTAGCAAAAATGTATGCATACGTATTCTATTCCACCCCAAAATTCTACAAAGAATAACAGTGTCATTCTACAAGAACCTGATGTTATTTTGCTCAAAACCTTTAAACATGGCTTTTGTGAAGGAATAGGAGGAAGGAAAAGTGAGAGAAGTAAATGCATAATGTTAATTACAGATTTCTCTCTGTTTTGCAAGGTGCTTAATTTGCCCTTTCTTTCCCCTTTTTAGGCATTAGCTGTTGTAGGGCACTACCACAGGCGGGACAAACAGAATAAACAATGAGAAGGCAAGGAACTACACAGTGCTATGGCGAAAACTCTGATCCCTCTTCTGAAAGACCATGGGTGGCATCTCCATGACATCTTTAGTCTTAAGCAGCAGGAGACAGAAATCCCAAGATCATTCCTTAACCTACACTATCAACATAGCAGCAGCACCATGCTGAGCTATAATAATACAGCAGTAACTTGAACATGTACTCACATTAACAAGATAATGCAAAGAATAAAACCTGCTAGATTCAGAAAGGAGACTGACTGATGTTTGTGTTAATCTTTCCTTCAGAAGACTGTCCAGATGACATTATTATAAACTAAGGATGAAGAAAAACCACCAAATTTTGAAAATAAAAACAGATGCAAACTTACATATTTGTCAACTCAGATGAAAAGATTTAGCAGAACTCTTAGCTTTTTCAATAAAGTATTATCACTTCATGTAATATTTACAATTGCATCAGATGAACAGGATTACAAATCTATCACAGAATCCATTTGTCTGAGATTTTTATTTCAAGATTGAAAAACAAGGGAGTTAAAAGCATACTGTTCCATACACAAAGTGTCAAGATGCAAATTCACAAGTTCTGCATAGAATTTCAAGACATTTACATACATTGCTTTGGGCTTGCAGAGGTAAGGACAAAAACATACATAAAACAGATGTGTAAATCACTAATCAGAAGACTAGTTGAGCACTTTCATGCTTGATTAACTCCATTTCAATGTGCAATCATAGTAATTATGTGAACAAAGCACACTACTTCAAGTGCACTTTTTCCAAGGGTATGGATTCTTAAGTTAGAAAGATTAAGAAAGAACCATAAACTACAGACATGATGCAAGAGAGAAAATACAACAAGAAAACAAAAAAGAAGAGATACATTTATTAGCATTGTATTTGAAACATGAAGGCACTCTTACCCTATCTTCCTTTTTTGGCAACTGATCACTGATAAGCGCTTTGGTACGTCTCAGAAACCAGCCAGACATTATTCTTGCCAGCTTCACCATGGCCTTACGACCTGTTGCTAGCTCCCTTTTAGTTGCAGTGTGCCTCTGGCCATGCTCCACTGGATCAGAAAATTTCTTCTTGAAATGTACTCTGCTACCTAAAAGTCCTGGTACAGCCCTATTAAAAAACAAAAGGGGATGGGGCATCGATTCACTGATTTAAAGCATACCATACATTTTTTTTCTGACTAACAGCAAGATATCTTAAAGTAGCAGTCACTAGAGAAACTACTAAAAATTTTAAGTACAAATAGAAGCATGCACTATTTTAAGACATGCCATCTTCCCTTTGTTTTCTATGATCCTCAAATGCTAAGACATACCCCTCAGGAAAAGGGTTCCAATATCATGAGAAAAAACATTTAGCAGAACAACAGAAATCAAAATTATACAGAAGCTCTAAACTACAAGGCTGCAAGAGTTGAGGAGGCTAAACTGGAAGCTAAGCAGTCATGTTTTCAATTTTTACTGGTTTTATGAAATCAGAATATGCAGATATTACAATTAACAAAATAAAATCTTGAGAAACCAAATAGTAGAAAGAATTTAGTAATTGTTGGCAGCATTACACATTGGAACAATTTACTAACAGCATCAGCATAGTTTTAATGAACCAGATGGAACAATAAGCTTAAAATATTCCTCCTGCTAATTCTGTTCTGTATGTCCTTATATTTAAAGTATGTTTGCTTTGTTCTTTCTCTGCAAAGCATTCCCAAGAGATTTAAATTTGTATCTACGGTCAGTTGTACCTCTCCTTGACCATTAAAGTTTTTCTGGACAAGACTTGCTTTTCAAATATGCACACTTGTGTATTTTGGAAAAAAAAAGCGCAAAATGCTACTACTTTCATCCTCCAAGCAGGTCAGAATGACCTGCACATACTGGAGCAAAGGCACTATGTTGGTCAAGGTTGTGTAATGATTCCCTATCTACTGGGTGAAGGACAAAAGGAAAAAAGAGTGTCCCTCAGGGAAAAAAAAAAAAAAAAAAAAAAAAAAAAAAAAAAAAAAAAAAAAAAAAAAAAAAAAAAAAAAAAAAAAAAAAAAAAAGGAGGTGGAGGAAGAATAATTTTAACTACTTCTCAAATTCCCCAAAGAAGCCATCTGGGATGAACTCCAAATCTATTAAGTAAGTAACTGTAAAATACCAGGAGCTTACCTCCCCAGGAAGTCATATTCTTAAAAAAAAGCAGGTGTTTTGAGGTTGAGGTTTGTGTTTTGTTGTTGTTCTTTTAACAACACAGATGGGTCCATATCATCCAGTCCTGCCCTAACCCCACTGCACAGTCAACACACAGAGGTGTTTAAATATAAAATAAAGTATTCTATTTACCAGTCCATAACACACCAAAGTTCCTTCATATTGTTTTGAAGAATGGTTCCAGTAAGACCTATGCGAACACTGCATTTTAATGACTTCATGGTTTGAGTTATTTGAGCCTTTGGATTCTTGATTCTATGTGCTTCATCCACTATCACAGCAGACCACTCTATACTGCAGATCAAAAAAAGATTCCATTCATTGACATTATTTGTCCCATCATCCCACATACATAGAAAAAGTGAAGCCACACAAAAAAGTGAAAGTCATACAAAGCCGTACAAAAAGTGAAGCTGTGATAATATTATAACACATTATTATTTTTTGATTTCCCTGTTTTTATATTATACCAGTCTATTTCCTTATATTGTTTGTTTCATAAATTCAATTAACATAGTTGAACTTAATGGCTAAACTACATTGTCAAATAAATGAGCTACTGTCACCTGCATCAAATGCTTTCTGTGAACAAAGAAGCTTTCAATCTGTGGACCAATGAATCCAGCATATCTCATTAAAATTAACTCCACTTATAATTAAGATTTACAAAAAATAAGTCTCTAAAGGTAAACTACTGAAATACACTTAATATAGGTATGCTTCATTTTGCCAACAAAAATTATCCAAGACAAATACCAATGAACTGAAAACATTTCAATCTGCATGGCTTTCTACAAAATAAAGTATCACTCAAGAATATATATACAATATCAATATAGCAGAGAAATTTTAATATTTTGGGATTGTGATAAGAAGGAACATTGCTATAAGCAGTGACCAAAAGATATTTTGCAGCCAGTTCAAAAATAAAACTTAGGGGTAGAATGACCTGTACACTGAGATAATAATAAAGTCTTCAACTCTCTAGGAAGATATTTACTAACTTCATGAGTTCACTTTATATATATGAATATTTCAGAACACAACCACATCCATATTGATTGCAAAAGGCTGAAACAGACATGTCTAGAGATGTTTAGTAGAAAGCATGTCTCCTGAGCAAGCTGCATTTAGTTCACTAATGAAGGCTGATCTTGTGGCATTTTTGCTAATCACTAAATACATTCATTCATATTCAAGTTCCTACATTCCCAAAACATGCTAAAAATTGTAGTTTCTGAAAAGTCTAACAGATGTTCATATCCTAGCTCCTTCCACTTAAATCTCTCATACTGATTCACATGCATAACTGAGCATACGTATTCTTATTCCTGACAAGTAATTACTTAAGAGCATCTTTTTAGGCTGCAAATATATTGTACAAAAAAAAAGTCCTTGAAAAGAACAATGCAAATTAGACAGCTAAAATTCAGTGTGTACAAAAAGATATTAAAACTATTACCTGTTAAATTCATCCAAATACAGGCGAAGTATCTCATATGTCGTAAGAGCAACTTCACATTTCCCTTGCTTGATGCGATTCATGTCATCATCTTTTTTACTGCCATGTAAGACAAAGACTTTAAAGTATCCCCATGTGTCTAGCTCATCCTTCCAGTTGTACAGCACTGAAAGAGGGGCCACTATGAGGAAAGTCTGAAAACAAATATATATTATAGTATCACTTGAAAAATTAAAACATAGCAACTTCTCAATAACAGAAGTCAAGATCTTGACTATTTTACTGATCTGAGCAGACTGTTTAATTCTGTCATTTCAAAGATGTATAGAACATATCTAAAATTAATATAAATACAAAAGTAATCTGTTTACCCTGAGATGTGTATAATACAGCAGAAAAATACTGTCATACTAAAATTAAATACTAAAAAGCACTACTTACTTAAATTATACTCTTAAATGCAGTAGGATGTGAAACTATCATTTTGCATTGCCATAGCATCTGTATACCATAAAATATTTTACAAATGGAGAAAATAAAAGGATGAAGAAGTTGAGCAGCTTCCTCAAATCTGTAAGTCTAGTCATCATGTGACTTGAAAACAGATAGTCCTGAAGAGTTTAAAAAATTAGGGGAGCTCATACAATTCAGTATCACAGGATAATAAAATCAAACAGGTAGGAAGTAACCTTGGGACATTTTCAGTCCAACTTAATAGTCAAAGCAGTGGCAACACTGACATCAAACCCAGGCTTAGCCAACTGAGGTCTTCAAAACCCTGTAAGGATGGATGGGGTCTATAACCGCTGTGTGACCTCTTTCAACATTAAATGTCCTCAAAGTGACATTCTTCTCTCACTCATAGTCAGAGTCAGAACCATTCCTGTTTCTTTGCACATAAAGTGCTATCCCTTTACCCCTTCTTCTCAGCCTGTTACTTCCTGAGGGGCATGTATCCATCATTCACAGAGCTACAGTCATACGACCCATTATGCCAGTCAAATTCCCTTAACTACTGCAGCAAAACAAAAACAACAACTGAAAATAGAAATCACATGGTTTCTGTAATGGGTAAAATTAAAATACTCTTCAGATTTATCTTATTCACACCGAAGTTTTACATATATCTTTTATTTGCTGTCACTGTATTTGATTACCTAGATTATCAGCCAGACTTACTTCCAACATTAAGACAGCCAGGACATCTCAAGACTATTAGCAATACACTTTCCAAACATATGGATTTGTCTTAATTAAATACCCTGTTATTATAGATATATATGCTTTTTTACTTTAAAAATATCATCACACAACACTAATTTTCTACTCACTAACATGGGCTTTTCAATGTACTCTAGCCACAAATCTAACCCAGACAATTCCAAATGTTTTCTATTAGTGCAGATGAACAGTAGTAACAAATTAGACAATAACAATTAGAGAGAGAGGGCATTATGGCAGTCATGAAAACTGAAGGCTTCCCAAACAGTACTAGGAAAGGCATGAAATCCCACCTCAGCAGCTGAATTTTAAAAATTAATGTACATAAATTCCTAGAACAAGCAAATAAATA